AGGATAGTAGATACGCTGGCCAGGTACCAGCATCGATGTATTTCCTTGGTGTTGCACCCTGGCTTTGGCGGGACGATGATCGAGGCTATGGAGTCTTCGTGGTAGCTGAGGATACCCTTCTCTGGGTGGAAAATGTTTCGTGTCTTGTTAGGTTGTAATCAATCTGTGTCTTTTCCTTCTCACCTGCACCATGTTCTTGATGACAACAATGACCGACCCTGGGATAATCCCCAGAAGGGAGATACAGGTAGGCATTCGCTTGGGTTACCCATACCACTCGTGAGGGATCTCGTCTCTTATGCTTTCAAATTGCAAGATAACTATTGCATAGTTGGGGCGAGATAGGCTGAGTAGTCGTGCTTCTTGCCTGGCATCGTAGCTGAGTATAGACTGATGTGCTCGGGGATACTCTTAGTCATAGTTGAACCTGGATGGTACGCGACGTTGGAGGTTTCCAAAAAACACGAAGCACCAAGATACTCCGAGATATTTTCGCGTGTGGGATGTCATTCTCACTGAGCAGAGAGAAGTCATCTGTTGCCGATTCAATAGTGATGATTCCAACAGACTGAGCACTGGTTTGGCTCAGTCTTGGATGTGTTAGTAACGAACAACCAATTGCCTAATAGAAAGCAAGCAATGACCGATCAAAGACACAAGGTCCTGTAGCTCTAAAGACATCCCGGGTCAATTTTCGGCCATAGCATACTGTACGCATCCTAATGTAACCGCACTGACCTCGATGATGATTGAGAATGGCGCCTTCCGATAGGAAACAACTTGCATACAGCATCCAGCCTCGATATGCATAGTGCCAAGTCTGGGCGACCTTGCATGCTGAACCTTGCGTTCATCGATTCCCTTTCAGATAGCCTCGGCGTCTTCTGTCGCCACGCGCGAACAGCTGGGCCTCGTTCCGCACCCGTATGAGGATTCTTTGTACTTGCGTACTGATACTGGCTTGTTGGACTTCCAACACGAAGTCCAACCAGATGAGCTCACAGATGAGCAGATGAACGAAGGGTAGGGATAGTAGAGTCATAAGGCTGCGAGGATGGTTCCATCGAACTCAGTTATAAGTGGTGTCGAACGTGTCGAGTGGTGCGCCCACCGAGAGCCTCCCATTGCGCGGATTGTGACAACTGTGTCATGCAGTTCGATCATCATTGCCCTTTTGTTGGTAACTGCATTGGCCGACGAAACTACTTGTACGTGGTGAAGTCCTTTGTAACAGTGGGGATCTCTATTGTAGATACTTCAACATGTTTATATATGCGGCACTGTGTCTTGGTGCTTCTGTCATTGTAGGATTAGTATTATGGACCTCAGGCCAGCGAAGTGAGACGTCACTTTCGGACAACACTATAACTGTAAGTCGGCTGGCATCAATATGCATCTCCGTATAAGATAGAGCCTTTCTCAGTTGCTCGTAACAATAGTGTCGATCCCAACAGCTATAGTTATGCTACTTGGAGTCATTCTCGGCTGTTATCATGCGTGAGTCACTACCCAGTCACGTCATCGCATCTACCACCGTGTGTTTCAGATGGCTAGCATACGCAGGGTACACCACTAAGGAGTACCTGACTGGACGCCGCTCGCATGACACTGGTCGGCATCTTAGCACTTTAAGCTCACGAGGGCCGAGTCTTATACCGGACCTTACTCAAGAGGTAGAGTGTTGAAGCTTTCAACTCTGCATAGCTCGCGCCCAGGTTCGAATTAGATCCGGAGCGATAGATCTCCGTGAGAGAACTTCGTCTGTTCAAGAGATGCAAGAGCGGCTGTGATCTGTATGTATTTTTTCAATACTGTTCTATTGTAGTCCTGTGACATTTGCATCGCAGTTTTAATTGTTCTATCTGAAATCCTTTGTTCACTACTGGGCCAGGTTATCGTGTTCGTGTCGTGTTCGCATAGTATTGGAACATTCTCATTGTTTATTCGCACAATAATTTTCTGAATGAACCATATACTGTTTTGGCTATGGATAGCAACCAAGGCACATGGGACTGCCCGGCTCTGCTTGAAAGTCGACCATTCCCCTTGTGGATATTCACAATGGGACGGCGTGCAAGTTGAAGCCCTTTAATCTGAGAGTTCTACAGTGAAGATGATGCTACTCAAACGCCAACACGCAACCCATTAAGACAATGAAGCGCAGTCGCAAAGCAAATCACCATCTCATCATTGGGAAACTTGAAACCCGCGAGTATTTCCGATGTCTAGTAGCTCTTGTCTGCTGCGCCGCTGGCGAGGGCTTGGATGGATTCAGCCAATCACGATAAGACCCCAATACACCGAGCCCACAACCCATACGGTGAGATTCACCGGGTGAGTACGCTGGTTGTCAACGTACTAATGGCAGTGACTACCAACGGCTGGTAGTCGCGGATTTGGTCTTCCGTAGACGACCAAGCCGGTGTTCGCATCTTGGGGTTATCATAGTGGCGTCAATGGATGCAAGAATCTCTTGGCCTCGCCTAACCTGCCAGACTGTGAGTTGTAAGTGTTTGGGCCCGATGCGAGGGTTGGCTTTTTGGAAAAGAGAACCCGTCAAAGGCTAAGGTCATCGGTCGATGGGGCTGCGATCCGCATTTTCGAGCGCTGTAGTGGTTCAGGCGAGTTGTCGCGCCGCTCTGAACTCAATGAAAGTTTGCCTTCGTCAGACGAGACAGCCTGAAACGGGTTCATTAGCTATGCGCTTGCGTGTTGTGCGACGACAGTGCGGATGCAGGCGCCCGGTTGTGTTGACTTCGACTGTCCAAGCGAGCTTTCTATGCTATTCGAACTGTCGTTAGAGGTTCCAATAGAACTTGCACAAAGAATCCGAGCGCAACTCCAAGGTGATCTCACTCCCTAACTTCATGCGCAAGTCGAGATTCCTGAACTCCCATCCCAGTGGAAAGGAAATGACGTTAGGAAGGGAATTGACAATGTCGCAGAAGCAGCACACCATGGAGCGCGAACTCGATTGCAGAGACGTTCTGAGCAAGCACAGCGTGGACGACCAAGTCAATAATCTGATCCATCTCCATATTTCAACCAATTTTCCGGCAATATCATATGCTTGTTCTCGAACTCGAACTCTGGTAAAATTTACTCCCTGTTCGCTTGCGCTAACATGAACTACCGTGATGGCATTAGGAACAACACGTCTGCTGGGCGGACGGTGGTTTTACGATGGTCGTGCTCGCGCGACTTCAGGCTTCCTCATTTTTCGATACCTTCTTTCCTCCTTACGCGCCTTACTGGTACTCTTCTTAGACATCACTGGCAACCATCACAAGCACCGCCCGATACCATCCCAGTGTGTGTCAATTCAACACAACGCAAGTACTATTCAGGGCGAGCGAGATTTCTCACAGTCATTCCGTTGCGTACGAGCTCAAGTAGACTCAAACACAGACACTCCGAATTAAACCTTCGCAAAAGAATTTCTCTTCTCGTAACTGGTTTACCTACGGTTAAGTAAACTTCCATTATCAGCGAGATCTCAGTTCTCTGCCATTGGGATGCCTGTGCATCATAGGGACCAGCGGCGAGGAGCTGGAGGGGGGTCTACCTATAAGGTATTACAGACAATAGTCACTCACTTCACCAGTGTCAGCCAGGCACAGCGAATCATAGGCTCGGGGGCCTTCGGTGTTGTTTACGAGGCGAAGGTGCAGGAGACTGGGGAAACAGTCGCCATCAAAAAAGTGTAGGAACATCTGGGGGAGGAAATTTGACGTTGGTGATGGACAGATTTGAAGACAAGAGATTCAAGAACAGGGAACTTCCTACTCTCAAGCAGCTCAAGCATCCCAACATTGTAACGCTAAAGCACGCTTTTCACACCGCAGCGGAGACCCCGACTGATTTGTAGGTTAACGAGAGGTTTGCTCATTGGTTCACTGTTGAATAGGTATCTGAACCTTGTGATGGAATACGTCCCTGATAACTTGTATCAGGTTATGAAGTGGGAAGCCTTTTTGACTCATAGTGAAGGCATGAGGTACCTTGTAGGTATTATGCCAAAGTTAAGGACTATATGCCCTCGCAACTGGTTAAGTTATATTCATATCAACTTCTGCGTGCTGTTGGATATGTGAATGCCAAAGGGTTCGCTCATCGCGATATCAAGCCGCAGAACGTACTAATCTGCCCGTCAACACACACCCTGAAACTATGTGATTTTGGATCCGCTAAGAAGCTGGCCATGGGGGAGGATAATGTGGCATATATATGCAGCAGGTTTTATAGAGCCCCTGAACTCATCTTCGGCTCTACGGGTTATACATCCAAAGTAGTAGTAGTAGTAGTAGTAGTAGTAGTAGTAGTACTCACTTATCAATGACCGCGCGGCACGAAACTATATCAGGTTGACATATGGTCTACAGGCTGTGTTATTGCGGAGATGTGTCTCGGGTGTCCGCTTTTTCCGGGACAAACTGGCGTTGATCAGCTGGTGGAGATAATCAAAGTTCTTGGAACACCAACGGCTGAGCAGGTTGGTACTTACTTGGTCAAGTCAATAGGAATCTCCTCTTAGGTGGCGGCGATGAACCCGAAATATAAAGATTTCAACCCAAGGGTATTCCCGCGTATAAAACCAATCGGGCTTGCTAACGCCCTGCGTGGGCGGCCTCAGATGGACCGAGGCTTTGAAGCTCTATTACGTGTTTTGTTGAGGTTCGAACCAGCGACGCGTATGTCTCCTATTCTGGCGCTGTGTTTGGAATATTTTGAGCAGTTGAGGAATCAAAAGGACCTTGGCCAGGAGATAGAGAATGCGGGTGGCCTGCCGAAGGAGCTCTTCAAGTTCACCAGTGAGGAGCTCATGGAAGTTGGTGACTCCAGGCGACTGGCACCTCGGCGTGTTGAGTCACCACAGATAGTGGTTGGCCCCGACAACACTACTCATACCACTCCATCATCATCTTCTTTCAAGTCAGACACGTTTCAACCACTGTCTAATTCTGCTACTATTACAACTAATTCTTCTTGAGCAGCAACAGCACATACCGTCTTTGCGCCGATTCTGCATTTTGTTGCCGTGGTGGTCATCGCTGTCGAAGGCTGCTTGAAAGTACTAGTAGTAGTTGGTAAGCACAATATTACTACTTCTATAGTTATATACGGTATTATTATGCTCTTACGATTAGTATTTCTTCCCAATTTCTACTTGCGTCAAATAGGACCATTTGGTATAGTAGGTTTATATTTTTCACAATGGCGATATCAACTAATCTGGAACTACGTCCCACGAATTCAGATTGCACTCCTACATCACAACAGCCTAGGGAGTGCGAGACGGTCCCTATTGGTTACGATGGATATTCTGGTGATTTCCATAAGAGTCGTCGTGCATGAGGAATATAGCAGCATTTCAGATGATGATTGGTCCGTTACGCCGTCGATTTCTACAGTGAGGCTCAGCAAAGCTCCCCGTTCAGGTAGGCGATCGTTGGTGTTGTAAGTTGGATCGTGTTTGACTTTACAGTGTTTTGGGCTACTTTACAAATCGTTAACATGTGCGGAAAGCAAAGCAGTCTCGCGGACGTTCGGTACGGTAACTCACTTGCTCCTGGAGTTGAGATTGGAAACAGGTTTACAAGGCTGCATCTGTGGAACCTGTACATAACCTGCTACATCGGCCTCTTTTCTTTATACGCCATGTGCCTGTTCACAGAGAAGGAAGGATGCCAAACCGTGTCCGAGATAGGCAACTACTCGAGCGTAAGGTGCCTCTTGCCTTATTACGCCACTCTCACGGTCTCAGCTCTTCACGATAGGAATGACGATGACTGCACTCGGGCAGCTCATACTGTGGCCCACATTGGCAGTCTACATAGCTCAGCGGTTGCCCAGATCTAACTCGCTCATTGCAGTAGGAAAGACACCCATTGATCTGCGCTAGCGTTGAAGGTCAACAGAAGTGCTCCTGACCCCAGATCCCAGTGTTGGAATATTTTTTCGCTCTCCTCAGTCGACCTGAGTCGACGAATTTACATGCAAATTCGGGTAGAATGTATAGGAATTAATGGGAATTTCCTCAAAGTCTTTACATTGTCACCAACACATGTGCTTAACCATGTGCACACTGCCAGGTCCGAGCTGGGCTCCTATTGGGCTTCTTTAATGCGATCTGTCTAGCTGCTGTGGCCCTTATTCCTCTACACTACGCCAACGCCGTCCACACGTTTTTCGCCCAAACCTTCTTCCTCGCGGACTGCGCTACCTGTGTATGCTTCACCATAGCAGCAGCAAGAGCGGACGCGCTTCCTCGCGGAGCTCTCCTAACGGTAATCAGCGAGACTACTACTACTACTACTACTACTACTACTATCCTCATCCCACCTGTCAGATAGTCTCTCTAGGGCTGGGCTCTATCCTTCTCCTCGTTAGCTATTTGCTTGTATACGACTTCATTCCGGGAGTCCGAGTTGATTGGCCCTACTGTGTAACGCGAACTCCCTTATAGGTTGTGCATGGTCACCGACTGATTAGGTTTATACGCTATCAGAATTCGTCAGTGCCGGCCTGTGTTTGGTCTACCCCCTGTGTTTTGGGCCACTGATAAGAGAGGCGGTTCGAAATGGAGTGGACTATGCACGACTGTAGCTCGGTCGCTGTGATTGACCTCTGCTTAGCTTCGAGACAGATACTACAATGACTGAGGAGACCATAATGTAAATGTAGTTACTTACTGTTATGGAACTATGTCCCGCGTTGTAGTGGCTCATGAGATGGCGGTGGGACCTGAACTAGTGCCAAGATTATCAATGGATTCAACCATGGCAACTATGCTGTGGTAACCTCAATAGGACAGCCTTTAAGTGAAATGAGAAGCGATGGTCGATGCTTAATACTGCACTGTCTTAGACGAGGTGGGGTCTCCCCTGGAACGAGCGTAGCAAAGACATTCACGACGACATGTCTCCCACTTCATTTACCCTGAGCGAATTCGGTGACGGCACCGAGGGCCTTCTACTTCCTTCTAATTTGACTCTGTTCAGATAATGTGAACCCATGCAAGAGCGGCAATATGCATCCAAACACCTCTCGGAGCAGTAGGTCTGTTTGGTGCTCACACTCTGAGCTTACTATTTCCTTCAGCTTTTAGCCATTCTGCTATTGCTATCGCCGTTCAGTTACTCCTATTAACAGTTGGGACCGTGGTCCTAATGTTGTGCTATTTCATCAACAGTTATATACTCGGAGCCTCGCCGAAGCGGTCATTTTGCGTAGGTCTCCCTAGACCATTCGCTCTGGTATGTTCATCATCATGACTGTACAGTAACGCCCAGTTTTGCAGTGACAATGTGTTCCCTCACTCCAATATGCTTTGGACCATCTATCAACCGCGCCATTCATACAGTCGACTTCGCCC